CAAGCCAGTCCTTATCTAATAAAACCTAATTAAATGGCTTAAACAAGAGCAATTTTATACCCATTTCTAAGTCTAATGTAAGACTGCTACAATGTTCAGGTTAAAACCTGAATAGCAATTCTCTACTGCTCAGCAGAGAAGAGGTGGCTTTTATGGGTGCACCAGCAGGAAATTAATAACAAACTAAGAAAATGCACTGCACACTTCAGTGTAGAAAAACCACCCATTTAAGAAATTAATCCATATGTACATGCAAATTCAGAGCTGCAGCAAATCAATCAGTTCTGAATGCCAAATGACAACTGTGAAGACTCGTGATTTTTCTGACACAAACAAGGGTTAACAGAGCATCCTGCTTCAGCTTTATTTTTAGGGCACTTTTGGCATAATTTCCTGCACAGAAGTGAGTTTCTCGTTCTGTGTCAGCCCATCTCCAGCGGTTAAAATTGTCAAAGTGGCTCTTTTATACGTATTCTAATTTACTCTACATTTTTGCCAAGCTTCTCAGCTCCACCTGTGCTTCTGCATTTCAGACTTCTCGGTTTCTTTGGCAATAATGGAAGCCTCTCAAAATAACAGCATTACCTATTTACATGCCAACCCTTTATTAGACTACATTAACACAATCCACACAATATTACAGCTGCAAGTCTGACAGATATTTTCTAGTATTTGCAGGAAGTACTCAGAGACCTCTAAAAAAGGGAGGATTTTTAGACACATAATCAGCATTCTCTCTATCTGGCACTTTTTTAACCACAGACTATTTTTGTTGTCGACTTTCTTTTCCCCCCCAAAGCCCTGAATAGCCTGAAAATTGCCTTTCTGTGCAAAGTCCTCTCCTCACACATCACAGCTGCTGCATTCAGCTGGAATGCCATCTATTCATACCTCCAAATGGCAAAGCTGAATGGCAGTAGGGCATGTGCTGAAAGAACAGGACTAAACAGGGAATGATTTTTACAGGAAGAGAGAGCCTGAGATTGCAAAACTCACAATTTGGCAGTAAAAACTGAGGGTGAATGCAATGTCTGAAAGAACAAGAGTAGCTATTCTGCTTTCATTCTCTGTCTCTGTATATCTGTATGCAGATAGCACTTCCAAAAATTACATATAAAATGCTATGTATAGCGTGTCCAACCTAACAAACCAGATTTTTAAAAGCAATGTGATTGGAGGCAGGACTTAGATAACATATTTCCTCAAAATTGTATCATTTAATTTCAGTCTAATTTCAGAAAAACTGATATAAGTTCTTACTTTTAGGGAACTGGCAAACATGGTACAGGAGTTTGACAGAAAGCCATTAGTTAGGTATAGCTTTTGGTTCCTTTTCCACACTGTAGCTGATGCACAGGGCTAAGCAATGCTCTGAAATCAAATTTCTCTCAAGACAAGTTTAGCTGGCAGAGCCAAGAACAAAATGCTGGAGCTTCTGATTTCCAGGGCATGCTAGGACTACACACATATATCTTTAATCACTATTACCACTCTTTTTTTCCTCCTAAAATAAGTGTAGAATAAACAGCGCCCACAGTCTTTTCCTACAGCTCTCAGAACATCTTGCAAGATGGCATCATTAAGAAAAAAAAAAAGAGGAAATATTTAAAATAATTTGATTAAATTAGAGAACAAAACAAAAGAAAAGCAGGACACTAGCGTAGGCTCTTCCAGTACTCATCTACATGAATGTGTTTGGACAGGGTAGTAATAAAAGAATCATCTGAATGTGAGCACCATCAAGTTCTTGCATTGAACTTTTCCCTACCTTTTATTATTTTTTAGCTACATATAATTGCAGTTGTTAAACATGTAGGTGTGCAAAACCCCTGTGTCTTGGGAAGGGGGGCATTTTGGTGGGTGCAGGGGCTGGTGTGGAGGAAAAAGGCCTTTATTACCTCTCACGCAATTTTGAGAACCTGGAAGCCCAAATCTTTATTTTATCTTCTTTTTTTTTTTACTACACCTAATTTCCTCTTTCCTGCACATAATATGAAGTCTCTTTCCCTTTGTTATGTCTTTGTTATTATGCTCCTCCTGATAGATTTAGTCCTTTTATTCTCACATCAAATTTGAAACATTTGTAGAATGTACTGGAAAGCTCCAGAGTTCCATTTAAAGTACCTGGACATTAATTCACTGTTTCTCTAGGGATGAGTGTGGCCTTCTTCCTCTCCCAAGTAAAACATCCCCACGCTTTGTTTTTTATAATTTTAATAACTAAAAACGATGAGTGATACAAATCAGATGGATTTCTTTGTGGCTTGGATTATTTTTCTTGTTTTTTTTTTTGTAATATCAGGAACATTTCAATGATAGTTAAATCCCAGGTAATTTGGATATATGGAGGAAAAAGGAGGATCAGGTGAGCTAGACTAGGACACACATCACTGAAGGCCTTGGTACACTGGAAATTTGTTTTATTTGCTTGATGTGTTCTACTTCCCATCTAAACAAGTATCTAAATTCTAATCATTGCTCTACCTCTAAGACTAATTACAATTTTTCAGTGTGCTATTTCTTTCTTTTTTTTTTTTAAATTTTGAGAAGCTTTAATCACAGATGCCCCAAAGAATATTTATACAGGACTGCAGAAACCATTCCTTCAGTGACTTATAAAATTACTGTCCATCTTCTCTGCTGTTTTGTAGTCAAAGTACTTCCCTAAAAACTCAGACAGAAATCCCAACTGGGTGTGCCAGGAGATACATATCAAAAGCACACTTTAAATATTTATGATCTGATAGATGTCACCATTCAGTTTACATTTTTACTTAAAAGTGAAAATTTTATCCTGTTACAGTTCCTATATTAAAAGATTTTATTTTTATGTAGTTTTCCACATTTTCCCTTTGTTTATCTATTCTTTAAGGACTTTTCAAGATATTAAAGGGAAGCAATAATCTCTTTATTCCTCATACAGCCCAGAGACCCCAACCAGACTGAGGCATTTAGCACCAGACATTTGCAACGTGACTGGAAGAAGCTACACAGTGAAATGGCTGCAACCAGCCCTGCAGCCCCCAAGACAAAACATTATTCTGCTTTTTTTCTCAAGGTTTTTTTCTCCTCAAGGGTTTCCCTGGGCTGAGTTCAAGAGGAAGTAATGTTTGCAACTGCTGATGAAGTGCAATAACAGGTACCACTGTGGCAGAAGAGTGAACCACACAGAAACCCATCACACAGACATTCAAGCTCCTGAAAGGGAGAGAAATAAATAAGAGATGATGTAGAAATAGAGAGATAGATGAATAAGGCGAACAGTAAAAAAACAGTCAAATGACCAAAAAAAATTACAAAGTGCCTAGAAGCTGCCAAAAAAATGCTATATTAGAAGCTCATAAAACCATGGTCGACTCTACAAAACTAAGAAGGGAACAACTCAGAGTTTAGAAAAACTTGCTGAAGGGAGAAGAACAGAAAATGACATAAAAAAACTTTAATGTGAAGTGAGAGGGAATTTGATATAGTGTAAAGAGTTGTGGAGGTATGCAATATCCAAGACAGATTTAGAGAAATTAATGGACAGCGGGCTCATAAAACTGACACATCTGTGGGTATCCAAGACAACATATTTATGTTTTGAATGGAAGGACTGTTGAGCATTCTTATTTTCCCTTCTTTTTTTCAGGCAGTGATAGAGATGTTTAGTCACTCTGCAGACTGCCCCACAGCTGGAAACACAAAATTGTAGGTATGCAGGTTGAATGTTAATCTGAAAGGCCCCCTGATAGATCTGAAATGCTTGCAACATCAGTACATCCAGTTTACTCAGCTCCTGCAACTTCAGACAGGAGGAGATCAGGAAATAAAATGCTGGTGAAACACTCCACCTTTAAATTGAGAAACAAATACTTTTTGGTGCCAAAAGGAAAGATTCCTTTCAAGGCAGATTTTCCAAAATGTCCTGCAAACACAGTAAATACTACAGAAGTCTCCTGACCTACCTGAGCAAATCATTATCAGTCAGACAGCTTGAATTTATTTATGTACTTCCGTGCAATAAGAGACAAGATTGTTTTAGGGCTGGTCAACAGGATGAGATTGATATGATTTATTATAATTAACAGGCTCAGTTGCAAAGCATCCAGTGTACACAGGTGGGAAAAGAGAGCAAGTTTCCTGGTTGAAACTAGGACACTGTTGTGACTTAAAAAGGAATGTTCGCATTTTTGAGATTGACCATATATATACACACTCTCATAGACCAAAGACATCAGTGATCACAGTTGAAATAACAGCTTTAAGGAGGTCAAGTTTTCATTCTCACAGAACTCAGAAGAAAAGCAAGAGAACTGAACAAAACAGACAAAGGCAAGAGAACAAGAATAAAATTAAAAATAACATTTTCAAGTGCAAAGAGGTTCGCAAAATGAAGCAGTGGAAAGGGTAACTACACCCTGGTTTAGGCAAGTTGTTTGCAGAGAAAAAGATAAGGAGGAAAAAGTAATATGATGCTGCGCAAATGTCTCTACTCCAAGACCAAATTTCAAAGTAAATTCAGTTTAATATCAATAAAAATTAAATAAAACACGTTTTATATTTTATCTGGAATTTTGAAATCAATCTGGCATTAATATTCATGGCGCACAAAGCTTAAGAAAACATTTTAAGAATGTGAGGGGTTTTAAAATTTTATTAAGAATCTCAGTTCTGAGCTTGTATTTCCTTTCTCCTCCTCTTGCTGTTTCTTTTTAAAGCAAGTGTGAACAAAGTTTCACTCTGTATCAATAACCTACAGAACTGTTTCCCCTCTGAAAAAGCAGCAAGAGTTCCAGAGGTGTATTATCAAACCAAGCACCCGTAGCAAGGAGTCAACAGTTCCATTCAATAAAATACTATTTCTAAATACACAGGGTCATTTTTGCTTTTCTGTTTAGAGCAATTCACCGGTGCTTTGTCTGCCCACTACAACAAAATGTGCTTTATATACGAAGCCAAAGCACAGTCGCTTTCAATAAGAGGCCTGAATGGAGATGACAATCAAATGTTCCTCTTACCTCGTTTTGGAGGTCTCGGATCATTTTGCTCTTCCTTTCCATTTCAGTCTTCAAAAAGTTAATCTGCAAGTTTAAAGACACGCTGAGTGTGAGTTGTTGAGATGTACCTGAACATCAGTTGGGACCACAAAGTATTTTATTATGCTTCTCACAGCTGGTAAAAAAAAAAAAGCGACCACCAAACAAAAAGTTTTGCTTATATATCAAATTGGTATAGGCCACAGCTAAATAGTTGCTAAATCTACAAGCATATTTGCTAGAAAACTTACAATCCAAAGAAGAAAATTGTTGTATGTAAATAGACTTGCTTTGCACCAGTAGACATGGTGCTTATCTTTCACAAGGAAGTTCAAGGTGATCCTCAGAGAACTAAGGAGTTTTACAACAGCATTAACTGATTCTGTGACATACAATTTTTTTTACCCTCTAAGAATGTATCTATCATAGCAGGTTTCTAACAGAGTTATTTGATTTGAATGCTACGGGGCTGGTCCTGATGAGATAAATACCTCGACTCTGATCACACTCACCTGTGGAATCAAGAGCATTACATGTAAAAGCATTCACATATGGTCTCTACTTCCTAATTAACTCAATGACTTGCCTCGGAAAGCAGAATTCCAATCTTAGGTTCAAGACTGAATTTAATCAAACCCAGTTTAAAGCACCGTTTTTACAAATCAGTCTGACTTTCTTTCAGGACCGAGCTTTCCTCACAGCTTATGGAATACAATAGGAGAAAGGACAATGTAATGATAACAACTAGGATTAAAAGAACCCATTCCTGCCATTTTGAAGGAAGATGCTCTTGGATACCTCAATTATCAAAATTCTCATCCTTGTTTACTCAATGTCCTATGCTGTGTTCTCTCCCTGTTGATGCAAAACTCTATCCAAGTTCGAGGGAAGCTACAGTCATTCTGACATTGAGACAGAGTTGTAAAGAAAAATAAAACCCTTGTAAAGAAAAAAAAAAACTTAGATTGGAGAGACACTGACCCAAAGATTCATGGTTTGGATGTCATGTAGGTAAAAAATTACGCTGAATCTACATGACACGACAGCTGTTCTTAGAATCACGTCCAAACTCAAGCAGACACGTCAGTAATTTGAAAAATGTCACTGAATTTGATATCACCCTCACTTGTATCAAAAGGGAAGCCACAGAATTCTATTATCATCTAAGGCAGAAATGTAGGTAGGGAGTGCACGAGACCAGAGCCACCTGACATGCATAAACAGACAAAAGTTAGGAAGAGTTTGTAAAAGAAATACCAATTGCTTTGGCTGTGGAAATATTAACTCCACATCCAGCTGCCACTGAGGATGATGCTTTATCAGAGGACAAACATATTCAGCACCTGCCTGGCAAGGACAAAATTACTGAAATCTAGTCCATATATACTAGATAATAAACGTGAAGATTTTGCACAACAAAAAATAAAGGTCACAATCGAAAATACGAGATCAAGATGAATGGGGAGAAATGTAAAATAGCTATTTGAATGGTTATTTTGTTTTTTTCAGCTGTTCAAAAGTATTGCCAGCTACCACTAAATACTGACAAAAATAATATACTGACCTCCATTAAAGAGTGTTCCCTTTCTTAGACCTAACGCTCAGGAGAATATTAATATGCCTTCAAAGCACTTGGCTTCTAACTATGAATATATATGAAATAATTAATGAGATTTGACACCAAAATTACTATCTCTACATTGCTTGGATCTTCTAGGGAAGAGATAATTAGGACAATCCAGTACTATTAATTTAACAGCAATATATGTTGGTTAAATCAGTAATTTTGTTGATTACTATGTACATACACATGCATTTTATACCACTGATATGGACATCCTACAGAGTGTAAACATACTGTTCAAGCTTATCTGAATAATTAGAAGATATTTTTACAACATTAAAAAGAATAATTTCAGCATTAATTAAGAATTCATTCGTTTTTGCATTCATATTATAACAGCATTTTTAAAGGTCCTCCAAATCTCTAACAGCTGAAGGACCACTTAGTCACGAGGTATAGCTATGGAGGGTTACACAGGAGGGGTTTATATGCCTTGTCTACTGGAGCCCATACAGAGATAACACATTGAAGTGTGCCTAGGTGGATAATTTCATGCTTTAAGGCAGATCAGTCTGTGTCAGACCATTTGCACGGTGCTTTTAGTCAGTCTCAAGGACAAGACATAATACCATTTTCCAGAAGAGATGTAAAAATTCTGCTTCGAGTCGCTAAATCCTCCCAGCATAATAAACAAGAACAGGCATTTACACCAAGCTCTAAATTAAGGGGGACAAAACCTAAATAATTGAACAAAAAAAACCTTCCTGCATTTCTTCCTCCCTTCTACCCACGCTTTGTTCTTGTTTGACATTCAGCACTTTTCACATGTTGTCTCCCTTTAAGTGCTGTAATTATGAAAATACCTGATGAAAATATGTTGTTCTGAGGCTACAACTCTTCAACACTAAGCAAGGACACTGCTTCTATATCCCAGAAACAGGAAGTGTTAAATACTGTTAAAAGCAGAGCTAAATAGTTTTTTTACCTGTTTCTTACATGAATGTAACTTTTAAGCTGCAAGCTACAGTTTGATTAGTAAAAGAGACTTTTGTCAAAGAAACATTTAGGACTTTGGGAATATAAAATCATAAAAACTTTTACTAAACAAAATAAATATTTTTGAAGTGAAAAGAACATCTGATCTTTTTATTAAAAATCTCGCTGGCATGAGGATAACAATTAATTAAATTCCCCATATATTAGCCTTTATTAGGGCTAATTTATTAGGCCTAATTTATTAGGGCTATTAATGTATTCCCCATATATTAGCCTTTTATTACTGAAAATATCCTCCTGATTTCAAAATAACCACATTGTGCATGGTTTCTTTTTATAAGTCATTCATAATGTGTTGCTTAATTCTCGTTTTTCATAGTGAACACTGAGCAACTGGGAAAAAGGAAATTACACAGAGCTATTTTCTCCTTTATTTTGACAGACAGCACTGTAATTGTATTGTCAAACAATTCCATCAACATATCTTCTTAAAAATTGCTAGCATGACATAAAATACTAACAGAAACAACATATAAAAGGTAGACTAAGCTTACTTTAGACAAATTATTTTTGAGTGTTTCCATGTTTCATTCTTTATTTTCTCCCACATCCAGAGCTATCCAGCTCTTTTTATAAACTTTAACTGCAGTTAATGGGAAATAACTTTGCAAACTTGCTAAAAATATAGCTATTTCTTAACATGCAAGCAGTTAGCACGAAGTACATCAAAGCAAAGAGCCCTTCTCCAAGAAGCTCTGAGAGCCTTTTAACCCAATGAAGAAATACAGAATTACTATATTCTACAAATTTACTGAAAAAAACCCAAACAAAATTAAAAAAAAACACTTTTAAGTTTACACGTGCCATTTGCCCTGTGCCTTTCTGTTAACTAAAGTGAAAATTAGTCCATGGCCTCTAATGCTGTTCATGGAAGAAGTGGTTCCACTTCACATTTAGAGATAATAGCTTGACATTATTAATATCTTTTTTCACTGTACAAAAACTTATTAAAAATGGCTTAGGTATTTGATGTTAAGCGCAGCACAAAAAGCTCTGTTAACCTTCATTGATTGTTAAAGAGGACACCAGGTTATTTGGAACAATGTCTTACACGTTTTACAGGCACATTGTATAACTAAACCCAGCATGGCCCTTCTGAAATGCTTTTTGGTATAAAAATAATACACAGTTGTAGTGTGGGACAGTCTATAAAGAAGTTCCTTCACACCAAAGGCTTTCTGGAAGACTGTTTCAGAGATATGTTGAACTAGGCAGCATAGTCAATTTAAAGCATCCTTATCATAACTAGTGTTTCTCTGCATATTTTATTACCCCAGGCAGAGCAGCTGACACAATAGGCTTAAATGTGTCTGAGGTCTGCCCTAAATTTCCTGGAAAAGCCCCATCTCAAGACAGAGTGCTGCTGTTCTTCGTGTGTTAGCGCTCCAGATGCAGAAGACAATCCAGAAGGATCCAGAAAAGGAGTGTTAAGGTCCCCCAGGTCAGCCCTCGGTGTGATTACTAAAGAGCAGGAGTGTCTTTACACATCCTTTTACTTTCCTTAAGCCTGAGCTGCTGCTTCTACCCTCAGAAAGTTGTTACCACCCAGCAGCAGCTCCACTGGCTGCCCTCTGAGACAGCACCCACCAACTAGAGTTGGTACCTACCAACAGGTCAGCAGCTGCTCAGAACAGCAACTTCTTTAGTTGCTTGGTTTCTCTAGCCTTAAAGGGTCAAATAATGGATAAGCAAGCACAAGAACACTGGTAACTCTCTTTCTGATGAATCATTTGTGCAAGGATAGTGAAGAGCCTTGCCATGTATTGCACAAGAAGACATGGATGCAAAGTCTAATGTTTTGCTGTGCTGTCTCTCTTTTGGTTTGGTCAGAGTCCTTGAATAATTCCCAGGTTACTTTTCATGTAATTTGACTTGATTCCTGTAAATTCTTACTTACACTTCTACATTTACCTAATAAAGAACACCTTCAGGCAGGTGTTGCCTGTTGAATATAAACAGCCAATTAACATACTCACAGTAAGCGCTGTACTATGCCTTCATGGTAAGTGCAGAAAAGAAATATATATTTCCATCCTTCCCTCTCCCACCAGTGTTTTATTAGTCTTTGAGAAATGTAATTCTACTCTTATTGACTCTGATGAAAATCAGGATTCACTTCACCAAATCCTATAGAATAAGATGTGCTTTAATTAGGCTAGAAGCTAGTCTCACAATTCATTAAATTAGAATTAGACTCAAGCTCCTATCCTCTAGCTAGTCTTGCCTCAAAATGCCTAGACCTTCTTCCATAGATTTCACATTGCTTCCAGAAAAATGTGAAACACATGGAAAAAAACCAGGTATAAAGTAACGTTGTGTGTCAGCAATAATATCTATTTCCATTTCCACTGCGGTTTTCAGGTGAGGATCCTGACGTGCTTTTTAAATATTCATTCAGCCTCGCTGTATTGTCGAGCCTCATTATGTACATTGTACCCTGAGGCATAAAGAAGTAAATATCACAAACCAAGGGCACAGTTCTGCTTTCCTTAGAATTAGCAGCAAGTTTAATATGCTATTAGTGGCAAGCATTGAGAATTCAGCTTCTCTAACCATCTGCCCACACTCCAAGCCAAGCTCTGCTATAAACTCAGAGGAGTTTTTTCTGGTTTCTGCACTAGGTGGTATTTTGCTCACAGTTAACAGTAGATTTTGTGTACAACAAATCTTGTGCTCTTCCCAAAGCTAGGGTAGGGACTGAATTTACACAAGGCAGTGTTGCTCAAATTAAAGGAAGTGCTACATCACAAAAACAAACAAAGCAAGTAACCCGTGCACTACATCTGAGATTTATGTAACCCACAGCTGAATTAGTCTTGAATATCAAAATCTAATATGAAGATTAAATAATGAAATATGTATTCCACCTGTCATTTGCAGGACTAGAATTCATTGTGCTTTTTAAAGTCAGTGGGAATATGCTCGTGCACCTGAAAAAAAGACAACACTCCAACCTCTTAACATTCTATGATTCTGTGATTTTATATAGATTGCCTCAGTACAAAACCATCTTAAAACTGAAGTGCAGATTTATTTTTCTGGATATATGCTGCCCTGGCTTTTGAGAAAAAACCACAAAATATGTTACCCTTTCCAAGCTCAATACAGCTTTGGTTACTTCTCTCCACCTCTCAAGAAGAAAGAAGTTTCTTTTTTTTTTTTTTTCTAGACAAAATTACACGTACCAAATATCCACTAACTACATGTGTGGGACACAAGATCACATAAAAAAGTATCTTTACACTTCAGACTTTTGAGCAACAAAGGTAAAAATACGTGTTTTCAAAAATCATATTAATTGACAGAAACTTGCAAAAGGAATAGTTTGGTCCAAAATCTACGCTATTTCTAATTAGAAGGTAGCATGTAAAGCATGCACTCTTACATCTTGTTCACCAAGGGCATAAAGCCACATAAAAATCACATCATTGTAAGTATTTGCTAAATTTAATAATTACTTTTAAACCATTGTCTTGGAGGAACTCTTGTTTTGTGAACCTGGAAGGCAGTGGGATCTTAATAAATAAATCAGTGGTCATTCAATACGAAACAAAAGATAGATTTATAAACCCTTCTAGCAGCTTGTTTTCAGGTACAGAGTTCAAATCACAGAACATTTAAGGCTTGAAGGAACCTCTGGGGATTGTCTAGTCAACTTATGCTCAGTGGTGTCCATGTTATAGGAATATTACTAACCAACATAGGAAAAATTTCCTTTTTACACCTTAGTAAACGTGATTCTACTTTTTTTTTTTTCTCCTGCAATAGCAAAATGTGGCAATTTATGCTCCAAAACACGACATTGCTACACAAAAAATTGTACAATTTACCTAGAAACAGAATTTCAATAAAGCATGAAATCTTAATGGCTCTTAATAATACCTTCCTACACTGAGTTTTAGTATGGTCAAAACTTGACACTTCATTATCCATTTTGTTGCTGAAAATCTGTAGTGATTCCAAAAAAAGTCAGTGGATGTATGACAGTGTGCATTAGTTTGGATGAGATATGAGGGTCCATAAAGGTAATCTCACCAGGGGAGAGGATTTAGGCCCAAGACTCCAGACCACCAGACTCCCAAAGTCCCTAAGTCCCACAGAAAATAGGGAAGAAGGGAATCTTAGAGCTTTTGAACACATAAACATTTTTTTTCAGCTCCTTTCTTCTGAAGCTTGCAGAGTGCTAACACACACGTGAAATCCATTTATCTTTTTTACATAAAAAGTTATTTGAGCTAATAACACATTCTCAAGGCGAGATTAAGGAAAAAAAAACAGAAGAAAACAAAAAATAATGTGAGAAGGACAGGGAATCACTCACGGTAGCCTGCTGCTTCTCTGCTTTCTCCGTTGCCTCTTTAAGCTGCTTTTGAAAGGCTTCCTGGAGAGATTTCATTTCTTCCCTGGTTTGTTGGAAACACAAAAAACACGAACTTCAACACAAGTGTCCATCAGGAAATAATTCTTCAGATTGAAGAAAGGGCACTTTTAATTATTCAGAGTAGCAGACAGATGTACTTTGTCTGTGAGCCTTCTAAATAAAGTCATAACAACCCCAGGAACTACAGTGTGAATAGAAGACAAAAATTAGCTATGATGAAAATTAGCCACTGTTTATATCTGCTGAATAGCCTGCTGTGCAAAACATCTGTCAGTGTATAATTTCTAGCAAAAAAGGACGGGCACCAAAAAAGTGAGGAAACTGGGCTACTCAAAATGCATTGACATGGAGCCATGCTATTGTCAATAAGAGGCATTTATACCTGCTTTAAAATAAATAAATAAATGAATCATGCTCTGATAAAATTCAGCCTGCACTTTGCACTTTTTAGAGACACAACATTCAGTAGAAGAGTCTGGCATCCAAGAAAAAAAACCCAAAACACCAAAACCAGGATAATTACTTGGACTGGGTTTTATTTGGAAAAAAACCAAACCCTTTGCATTACTGATGCAGAGAATTTCTCCACATTGCAAGAATTTTTTACCCACGGCACATGACACATTTTGGAGCTGGGGCAAAGTAGTGGAGTAACATATTTCAAAACAGCTGCAGAGCTTTTTCGGGGCTGTTGGTTTCACGGATGAACTTCCAGCAAAGATCAACACAAAACTGGGTTTACACACACATAATAATTTAGCCCAGTGAAAACTGAACTGGAATGGAAACCACTTAGTTTATACAAGAACAAAACTTGTTAGCTGCTGGATTATCTTTCTTGCTAGCTGACAGCCCTACTACTTTCAGCCATTTCGGCAGTGCTGGTACAGAGCAGATTTAATTGAAAAAGTGATTGAGCAGCATGAAACCAATACTCCATTAGCACAAACAGATGCCATGATTTTCAAGTGCTGATGATGCACAGAAAGAATAAAACTTGGGGCGTTATAGTAAGTGACCAAGTTTTACTTGCAGCTTGGGAAGCATTGAGGAATTTACACAGAAGGAATTTTTTTTTAAAAAATCTAATTTGAAGTCAGCAGAACAAAATTCACTTACACAAGCTGAGGACTCTAGCACTCTAAACTTCACTGTATCATCGTTGTAGAGCACAATCAAAGTTGTGTTTACATCAAATGCAGCTCATGTTTGTCCAAAGAAAGATCATAAGATTAACATTGGGCTGTATTTTGAATTTTGGTTCCAGTAATAAATAGATCTAGAGCATAACACTACGCTCACCATTCTTGATTTACTGCAGATGAAATACAGTCTGAGGCTCCTGGAGAATAAACTGTGACCTTTCCTTAGTGAAATTCTACGAGGAGGATTCCTTGGTACAATTTTTAACACCTTTCATACACTGAACTTCTATACTTCCCTGGAAATGAAACCCAGTAAGTCTGTAAATAGCTGGCCACAGCAGTAGCTCCAAGGCACTTCCTTGTACTATCCTGTTTATTTTATTATTACTGCCCTTTATTTCCTGAAGGAGGGGGTGGGCTGCTCAGCAGCAGGTTGCACTGATCTAGTCTCTGTCTCTGGGAGCTGCTTTTGTGCAGGATACCCAGTGGTTGGATTTCCAAGAAGCAAAAGTCAACAGGTATTTTTGGGTGGACCTTGAGAGACTGTAAGTGGTGATTTAAGGCAGAGATTAGGAACCACACTTGTAGTATGTAGTAGAATTTTCTCTTAGCAGACTCAGTTTTCCCATCTGCAACGACGATCTATTTACTAAACATCCCATTTCATAAAAGAAAGTTGCTCAACAATCAAACCACCACAAAACCACCTCCATTTATGATGAAGGATGGAGTCTGTGCCAAGGACAGCTGAGATGTCCACCTTAAACTACACTCAAGCCACCTGAGTGTTTAAACAGGACATTAGCTGAAGTCTTGCCTTTATCATTTAATAAATTAGTCTGGAATACCTGAAAGATCCTTATGCACTTGACCCTTCTCTATCACAGCAAAAATAAGGACTTCTACTGGTATTGTAGTGTGGATCTTAAATGTTGTGTGTTGAAGACTTGAAGGTCATTGTCTCACACAGCTTCTCTATAACAATGCAATTTCATGTGTAGTTCTAATAAATACAATATCAACAATAAGATGGCCTTGGAAATCAATTATTGCATTTCTAACAATGAAAGAAGTATGAAATTAATAAAGTTTCTTACTATATGTTTTTACTAAGGAAAAATATGAAGTATAGATTCATACATTATATACTATCTTTTCAGCAAGAGCAGTCACTTATAGTTATGTTTTCTTGTTATTAAAACTGTATTGACGTTTCTATTTGCTGGTCAGAATTCCAAGAATTAAGAGACACAGAAGGATGAGACTTACTTGCAATGAAGCATTAGGAAATCTGAGACTAAGGATTAGGCTGGGAACCTGCATTCCCAGCCATGGAAACTCATTATTTTTTAAGTGCTCAATGAATAATTTGAAGTGAATATTTCTCTCTCCTCCTAAATCCCTTCCTCATAGATCATCCAGTGCAAGTACTCCTTGCACAGTGACCACTGATTTGGAGTGTCTGCGTGCGTGAACATTTAATTAAGAGGCCTGAGTAAATATATATATGAATATATTATATCATCATCTCTAAATTCAGATATTGAGACATTTTAACAATTTAAATTTCTAAAGAGTCTGATTTTCTTTCTTGAGGAAAATTTCATGACTAAATCTTCCTGAGAAATTCAAAATGCCTTCCTTCAGCAGATGTCTCTTTATAGCATTTTAGTATCTTTTCCAACCATATGTCCAATATCAGCAAATCCATTATTTGCTTCAAAAAGAGCATTCCCTGCCTTTCTTTCAGTGTTACAATCAGCAGACTCTGGAATACAATAGTGTTTCTAAAGCAAAAGAAAGGTGAAATTTGCCAGTCTGACAGTTTTCAGCCAGGAAATGGCAAGAGAAGGAGGGAGGTGAGGGTCTTACCTTTGCTTTATTCCCAGTTCTAGGAGTTTCTGTACGTCACTTTTGGTTGATGCTTCGTCATTTTTCAAAGACTGGTAGCAATGAAAAAACTCTATTACCAAGGAGATTTTTAATTATTCAGCCATGAAATTATTAATTTGTCCCCTGTTAATAAACTGCCACTTATGAAAAATGGAGGGATAGACTGACTTTTTTTACTGTGACTCAAGCACAGCTAAATGTACACAGCTGTTTTTCCAATAATTAAGGAGAGCTCATCAAATAAGTACATTTAGAAACAGCCAAATCACTAAAAGCATTAGAATTGTCTGAAAAAGGTCAGTGTGTACATACAGAAGACAATATTACAGCTCTTTGCTCGTATCTGGATGCCTGCAGTGCTGAGTCTAAAACATCTCACAGTGTAATTTTGCTGAACACTACCTTGGGCTGTGCTGCATTCTAAAATAACTTTGCTTCAAGGAGAAGCACATTTCCCTAAAAGGTAAGAAGAAAAACCCAACAACAATAAAGAGTGATAAAACACTAAAAAAACCCCATTAATTAAAACCAGAGAAGTCTGGAATATAAGACAATACAACACAATAATATAATACAGCACAGTACTGATACACAGCACTAGTATTCTCCTGTGAAGAGGTACAGTGCTTTTCCTCCTTTTATTTTTCCCATCTAGCTTCCATCGACATGGAGACAAAAATGTATAGTCAGAAAAACAGTGTCCCTTAAAAAGGCATGAAATACAGAGACAAATCTCAGCTGATAATGAGTTTTCACCACACCAACAGACTCCACTGGGAAAAGACAAGTGCACCCTTAGCTGAATGTCTGGTGGTTTTGGGACCTCAAATCCAGAGCAGCATTTTCAACCTACTTGTTACTTTATTCCTATTGAGTAGACAAAGGGAGGACCCAACTCATTAGAATAAAATTTTCCATGAAAAGACTGTGTTTATATTAAGTACAAAACCAACAAAATAAATAAAATAATATTCACATATTTAATGTTTAAAACCAAACAAATCAGAAACGTATTTTTTTTTGTAATTAACAGATACCAGTAAGAAAATATAGGTAAGTAATAAAGGTAAGTAATTCTATAAAAACTGAGACAGAACCTAACCTGAAGGTTTACTTTAATGCCCTGAAGTTCTTTAGAAGTCTTTAACAGTTGGTGGAGTATGTTGCTCCTTTCCTTGAAGACTTCTTTCAGCTGCCTTTCCAGTTCTTCATAGCCCTGTCTAACACAGAAAATAAAAGCATGACATCATCTCAAAGCATCAGCCAATGCATCTGAAAACAGTCTCAGTTCACCCAAATTTAATTAATTCCAACGCCCTTTATAGATTCCAAATTAGACTGTGTCCCACTGTTCACCTGTATAACTTGATTTCTCCTAACATAGATAAATTGGTGGTTTAGATGTCAAAATGCTGTGCTGCTTCTGAGTGTGCAAATCATCAGACTCAAACACTGCAAGTGACGCATTGTCTGGGATGAGCAGGAGGCAGAAAGGATGTGTTTAGCAGGAGTGATGGCACACAGTGTGAGACTTTTCCTACTTTAAAAGATGTATTCCACACAAGAAACAAAGCAAAACTTTGCAAGTGTGAAGTTTTGAGACCTCCAGCAATGTGAAGGAAGAACAATTCAAATCTATTTTAACTTCGTAAAGTTTAATCCATTCCATAATTTCTTCTCGCTTAAACCTCCTCACAGTATAAACTAGAATTGACAAATATGCTCAGGGGAATCAAAACTACTTATTAATTAAAGAATAAGTCAAAATATTGTATCCTTTCCAAAGTGGTAATTTTTACTTGGAATGTAATTGTATATTTTAAAGCTTTTATAAGATCCGCAGTGAAATAAATCCAATTCATATTGCTTTACACTGAACGAAATACAAACCCAACTCTCCCATTCCGTTTCAGAAAAAAAAGGCAAACATTACAGTTAATGCTAAAGCAACATACTTTTTCATTAAAATTTCTGTTTTGAGGAAGACCAATCAGTGAATTGAAATACCTATTCCTATTACAACTTGATTTTATTTTTTTTTCCCCTTCTTGCAGTACCCTCTGCTTCTAAAAAGGGAGGGAAAAGAACTGAGATTTGCAACACATCACTAGTATTTTATCATGAGATTCAAGACCTTGAAATTAAGCAGGAATCTTAACAGTAATGGATTTTGAATGCACACTTCAGCAAAGAAACTCAGAAAAACAGATCATATTTGCTATCTAATATCAGTACTATCTACTTTAAAAATATAAAATATATATTATATATTTTATATAATATCATTATGTATATCATTATATTATATATAATATCATTAGATATATGATATTTATGAAAAAAATAAAATTATTCTGTATTAAATGATGCTATAAACAACTAGAAGAGACTACAGAGACTAAAACATCTCTTTCATCAACACAAGACATTCAGTAAAGAATCTCAATATTATATTGAAGTTTCAGTAATAATTACATTCAGCTCTGACAGAATGTTGCAAATTAGAAAGCATAGAGTTCTTTCAGTCTGCACTTCTAATGAAACCATTTCTGCTGCACAATAAGAACCAAGGTGCTGTGGTTTGCAGCAAAGCACTCAACACTTTCAGTTAAAGTCTTCAGCACAACTGTTAGGTCAGCTGTTGAATTTTACAGTAGAAGCTCTCTTTTGGAGGAAAGTTGAAATGAAAAAGAGGTGGGAGATTACACACACACACACACAAAAATTAGGCTTTCCCAGGATGGCAAAATAAAAACTACGATATTTCTGACGCATTTCACAGCTGGGAGATAAAAAGCTCACCAGTAAAATAGTTCTATATGCCAAGATTGTGAACCTTACAGGATTTAGCATTATTCACATGGAGGGTTTGGCTCAAATTTTTCTATCAAACTGTATGATAGAAACTACATGAATCAAATCTAGCAAGTGCTAGAATGCATGATAAATATAAGCATTCTGGTCCTTACCTGCAATATAAATAAAATATCCTGCTTATGTTTTACACAGAAACACCTACAGGGTTTTTTTGGCTACCACTTCAGCTGCATGAGATTTTAAAGAAGGAATACATCACTGTAATAGAGCTGGCTCACCTGAGCAGTAACATTATGTGCAGTCAGCCTGACAAGCTTCAGGGAATACCCCCAGTTTCATTTGCCAATGAACAGATGCCAAGGAGGAATTTCCTCCTGCTGAAGTGATCAAGTAGTTTCAATAAGGTCATCACTTTAGGTACTTTTCAAGCAACACAAAATGTGCATTAGTCTTGATGGTCTCTTTTTGCTATTGATACGTCAGGCTTTTGTTTAAACTCAAACTCAGTGTTTTAAAAAAAATTATGTGCTGCTGGTAACGCTGTGTTTTAACCATCACTTTGAAGTACCCTCTCCCCAAATTCCAGTGGAGCTCGAGCATTTAATGGTCATCTGTCTGTCCCAAGCTGCCAGCTGTGCTGCCCCATGGGTATTCAGTTGGCACACGTTTCACTCTATTACCTGATAAACAGCAATCTGCACAGTCTAGAACATTTCCAGTGTCCTTATATTAAAATTAATATAAACTATCTTTTATGACACACTATGCAGAGAGGTGGAGACAAAAAGCCAACAATCAACTTACCACAGAGAGTCACAAACCAAACCAAACCAAGCCCTCAGAACTATTTCTAAGGACTTCAAGAGCACAGCTGCCCATCTCAAACACTGCCAAAACACAGAAGGAACTGCAACAGTCAAGTCTTGTCGTTGGATCCAAGGATGGGGATTATCTTTCCTCTCCACTTGCCCTTTCTTTCTTTTCCTTAGACGTTTTCTTAAGTGACAGCTTTATACTTTTATATTGTTGTATTACTATAGAATAATAATAATGAGAACAGCTATGTGCCTCCTTGCAACCACATTGTTCTAAAATATATATATATACACACACCTACCAGTCATCCAGTGCCTAATTCCCTCTAATCTGCCCCAAGGGATATATTAACAAGAACCTCAGTTACCTTTGCCTTTGGGGGTAGGGTGGTCGTAACACGATCAGAAGGTATTTTTTTAAAGAAAGGATTGAAGAATGGAGATACAAGACAGAGCTATCAGATCTTTTAATTATTAGGTCCTCAAGGGTTTTTAATTCTGGGCAATATTACCTCTGATATCAAGCTCTGACTCTGCATTGTGTCCAAGAACAGTGCCCATATATTTATACATAAATACATATACATTAATTCAACTCTGCACCGTGTGATAACAAACAACCCCTCAGATCAGGCCGCCTGTTTTGGTCACCTCATTTTCTACGCTGAGAACTTCTTGGTTTAAATTGGTAATTTAAACCAAAAAAAGTGCAATTCAAGTGAAAAAGGGTAAATTTGCAAATACAGTGGTCTAACCATGAATCACTTAGATTATTCAACGGCTCTCACATTCTCCACAAAATTGAACATATCTTCACTTTTACACTTCCTTAATATTAACAGGATTCTCAGAACTGGGTTAAGGGAAAGATCTATGGTCGATTGGTTTTCTTATTCTTCCCTTCATTAATTATAGATAACCAAATTTTAGTCTCACATGTATTTGATAAGCATTCTTCGGAAGGTTTCAACCACGTCACTTTTGCACATCAGCACACCCATTCTCTGTAGCTGTGTTATTATATGAAAAGCATAACACATTTTCCAAAGCTAATGTTAGATGAATAAAAAAAAAATAAATATTTTCACCTTCTAGTTCATATTTGACAACATACCAGTTACAAAACATATAAACACAAATGCAGAAATTTTGTCCTGGTGAATACAAGCACACTCCTCTGACTACTGAATGAGATTTTTTTGTCTAATTAAGAAAACATGTAAGATGGAAAGTAGATATTAGAAGACCTAATCAGAAAACTCCTGCTGAAGTCAGAGAAGATTTAAAATGAAAGAACACCTCATCTCTATATAGGTACCTGCCAGAATGAAGCACATGGGTCTTTAAGGATGATGCACCATCCCTCACTCCACTATGAAATTATACACATATCACATTTGTTCTCTGAATATTAGGTTACGCCAGTTGACACCTTCCTGCAAAATTAAGTGCCATTGTCAACATATGAATATTTATCATTTCAGCACATTAAGGTGCTTTTATAAACGTTCATTGTGAAAGAGAACAATTTAGCAACACTCTGCATGTTACAGTCATTTGTAGTGCTCTGATTCCAAGTTGTTTCGTTTTTTACCATCAGCTTATTAATGTAGTGCCAGGGTAAATTTCAATATAATCTGTTTTCAAGGGAATGTTATTCACTTCTAGTTTTAAGCTTAGTCAGCTGTTTTTACTCTTCTGCTGACATGACTTAATATTTAAGATATTTATAAACATCCCAATCGATGCTAATTTTTGGTATAACAACAGAGGCAAGTATTCAGTAACTAGAAAGACTCACATCCCAGAGATCACTCCACCTGTGACTGTTACTTCCTCAAACACTAGAAGGTGAGCTTCAAAATAAGGATTGAATTTATTTCTCACATGTACTATGTCAGGACAAATGAATATCTAAAGTATGGTACATATAGCATATATATATATAAAATGTATTATGATAGCATCCAACCCGAGTTTCAACTACTTGTATGTCATTTCACTCAGTTCTGCATTAACTATTACATTTGGGAAAAAAGCATTAGGTTGATCAGCAGATATGCTCTTGCTAAAATCCAGCCTTTGTCAGATACAACTGTTCTCCCCAGTTAACTCACATTACATGTTTTGTATTTCAGCATTATCTTAAACACTGTTTCAGACTGGGACAGGGAGGAAAAATCCTGAACACAAAACCTGGGGATTTAGGAGCAGATGAGGAACATTTTTCCTTACCTGACCATTAGCTGTGCAAAATATTTGATTATTATAGATCAGGTTCATGATCACCCGAGGAACTTGAACATACACAAGTCAACGTGACCCAATGAGATGCATCCCAGAGTCCTGAGGGAATTGGCTGATGTAATTACTAAGCCACTCTACTTGATATTTGTAAGTCGTGGCAGTCAGGTGAAGATCCAGGAAAAAAGGGAATCATTGTACTCACTTTTAAAAAAGGGTACCCTGGGAACTACTGACCTTGTCAGCCTCTGTGCTGGGAAGGTCATGGAACAGATCCTCCCAGAAGCTGTGCTGAGGCACATGGAGGACAGGGAGGTCATTTGGGACAGCCAGCATGGCTTCAC